GACCCATTGACATTCACGGACTTCCAGTGGATGCCCGTTCCCTCGACCGGACGATTGCCGAAACCGCATTGCAACGTGCTCATGGCACAATTGCGGGATTACTTGCACACTGCAGTACCCACTCCGTTGATGGACGTCGGAGTAGAGGTTGTCGACCTTCACGCCTACATTGCGAAGATCGACCGCGAGTTCAAGACGCAACGGTACGACGACATCAACGCAGCATTGTTATACGTACACATTCAGATCGGAAAAGCGACCTGCAGTGCCTTGATCGATTGCGGAGCTACTCGCAACTACATCAGTCAGGACTTCATGGTGCGCGACGGCCTTGGCCCACGCGTCCGGAGGAAGACCCAGCCTACGCAAGTCACGTTGGCAGACGGTCATACGCACAAGTCCATCGACCGGTGCATTGACGCCGTCCCCGTGTACTTTGCCCCTCACGCAAGTGAGGCGGTATCCTTCGACATTCTAGACACCAAATTCGACATGATCTTGGGCATGTCATGGCTGCGAAGCAAGGATCACCCTGTGAACTTCTTCAACCGCACCGTTCACATTTGTGATCGGAATGGAGTATTAGTTATATGCACGGTGCCTCTTCCTTATCCTTCGATCCGCTGCCACGTGGTATCCGCCGCAAGCATGCGAGCTTCCATCATCAAGGACGACATCGAGGAGATGGGGGTGTGTTTTCTCCACGCCCTCCCGCCCCGAGACGCTTCATCGACGGACTCATCTTCGGATCCACGCATCACCGAACTTCTCGGTGCCTACAGCGACGTGTTCGAAGGCCCGCACGGAGTAGTACCGGATCGACCCATCCGCCACGAGATCATCCTCGAGGACGGGGCCGTACCTCCGCGCGGTTGCATCTACCGAATGAGCGAGGAAAGGTTAAGTGTGCTTCGGGCACAACTCGACGACCTTCTGCAGAAAGGCTGGATTCGGCCTAGCTCATCGCCATACGATGCCCCTGTTCTCTTCGTCCGCAAGAAGAACAAGGACCTGCGGTTGTGCATCGATTATCGCAAGCTCAGCGAGCAGACGATGAGGAATGCCGACCCTCTCCCACGCATCGACGATCTTCTCGAGCGACTGGGCGGCGCCAAGTTTTTCTCCAAGCCGGACCTCAAGTCGGGATATCACCAACTCGAAATTCGCAAGGAGGACCGTTACTAGACCGCTTTTAAGACGCGATATGGACATTTCGAATGACTGGTCATGCCATTTGGCCTTACGAATGCCCCCGCCACTTTCCAAGCGGCTATGACAACGGAGTTCCGACACATGCTGCATCGATACGTACTGATCTATCTCGAAAACATCCTGATGTACAGCCGGAGTTTGGAGGAGCATGTGGAACACCTGCGCACCGTTTTGGAGCGGCTACGACAGGCCAAGTACAAAGCCAACCGCGACAAGTGTGAATTCGCGCGGCAGGAGCTGGAGTACTTGGGCCATTATGTGACGCTGCAAGGCATCCGTCCGCTCGCGGACAAGATCGAGGCCCTACGAGTAT